TACCGCTATTGTGTATTTTATCATGAAAAACAATTGTTGTGACATCAATGTAATCGATGGTTCCCTAACAGCTTTAATGTTTACAAACCTAACCATTATTTTATCGCTTGCCATATTTTTAAAAAGATGTTTTGTAAAATTTAGTTTGATTACATAGACTTTTCAAGCCTATTGTATTTTGTATTCTTACAAAGTTTACAAGTGTGTGACAACAAACCTGACAAAACGGACGTATCTGCCAATGACAGGAATAGAACAGTTCCAAGTGTATGTGGTAGGACCAAGTGTAGCTTCTGTTTTATAGCAGAGTTCCCCGGGATCCTTAGGAAAAGTTGCTTTCAGTCTGGGATCTGTTCTAAACACGTCAATGCTAAAGTTGTAGATAGCGCCGTCATTCCTGTTGCTAAAAATAAGATGAGATCAATGGAGGAGTCAATAGGTAAGCAAAATTATATGTACTAAAACCAATGTCTATATTTATATAACGCAGTGGCCGTTCTCGCTTTGGGAGTGATTATTACATTACTTGAAATTGCTGAAGAGGGGATCGTATTGTTTAGTTCCCTGTTAATAAATCGCTGGATAAAAATATCCTGGACATAAACCCCATGGACATACCCCCACCCCTTCTCTCCGTGCAGTGTTTCTTTCAGACTTTTTTCTCCGGTGGGGGGGGGGGCACTTGAAATTTTCGGGGGGTCGGTAGACGGGGGGGGGGGGGGGTGGACACTGTTAAAAGTTTATATTTTATATATAAACTAGCCGTCCCGGCCAGGCCCTGCTCTGGCTTCTGTGAAAAACCTTCCTGTTAAAGACCATTACCTGTGTGTTTAGTAATCTCCATAAACCAGGCATTGCCCACCCAAACCACAACCAACCAAAACCAAAACAAAAAAACTCAAACATAACGCTAACACAATTACAAATACACACGAAAACAAAAACCTAACAACAAACCCAACCACAACCACAACCACAAACACCAATACCAACACACAAAAAACGAAAAAGCAAACGAAAACAAACCAAATCCAAACGCAAAACCAACCACAAACACAAATACAAACCCAAAGAAAAAACACAAACAAAAACGAAAAAAGAAAGAACAAAAACGAACCAAATCAAACCGCAACCACTAACGCAAACCCAACCTAAACACAAAGAAAACACTAACGCGAACATAAACGCAAAGTGCTCACAGTCTAGCCCTGGGCGGAATCGCCTGTTTTAGCTTAATAAACGACTATAGTACCACAACCTATTCATAGTCATTTGCACTCACTTAAACGAACGCGCCTGATTCAATTTAATGAACAATTATAATACTCCAAGCTTATCCGTAAAATACCTACAACATTTGCACTTGATCAATCCATGCTAATTATGTAATTAAGTTTTTCCCAACACCAAAACAAAGTAATAAAAAGTAAATTCTTTTCCACGAATGCAATGGTTTTATAAAGGGAAGTAATTGTGTTTTCCTAATTCATCAAAGGGAAGTAAGTGCTATAGGACTAAATAAAGTCATAATTAGAATTTTTGTAAAAGATGATATGACTAAGCCTCCCCAAAGAGATGCCTGGAAGAAACTCTGTCTCCGTGACAATAACCCTCTCGACTATAACTCCGGATTTTGACCGGACATCAGCTATTTATATATGAACTTAGAGGCCTACTGATAATATACATGACAAATTACAAGAGTTATGAAATGAGTACAAAATTGCTTTATATTATTATAGTAACCAAAAAAATAAAAGAATATTTTCTCGGAGCTGATCGTCTGTATGACGGATGAAGCAGAGTTCACCTATTTTTATTACATACCACAATACAGTTAAATTTTAAAATTTAAAATCATATACTATTTTGCAGAAATACTAACGTAATTTAAAAATCAGTTTCAAAATTAACTGTTACAAATTGTAAGGTTAAATCATATAGCTTGACGTATCAAATTAATCGCAAACGTTTGAAGAATTACATTCTACATCCACATACAAACTACTCAACACATCAACTAACACCTAACATTACTATTGTACAGTAGTGTTGTAACTGTCAGCTCTTAGAAACACCAAATACAAAATAAAGATGATATCAGATTCTTAATATATGGTAAAACAATTGTTGGTCTTAATCTAAGAATAGAGGAATATGGATTTCATCTGTACAAAGAAGTCGGTTTGACTATAATGATGTTTAAATTTAATTACATCGCGCCGTGCTGAAAAAAAAATATTCTAAAACATATTAAAATACTATGGCTGTAAATGCATTTTAAATATAGTAAGCTTTCATTCATGTAGAGGGTAGGGTGTAGGTTGAACAACAAAAAAAAATTCATAAAAAACGTTTTAATAACAAGCTTTTATGTAATGATGCACTAAAAAGTGCTTTTCTTTATAGTTATTTAAATAGTAGTCTATAATTTATTTTCTACTTTTTAGTGCATCATTACATAAAAGCTTGTTATTAAAACGTTTTTTATGAATTTTTTTTCAGTACTTTACATGTTTTATTTACAATAGAGTTACATGACTAAACACCATTGCGCGCCTACTGAACATCACGTTCAGTAGGCGCGCAATTGTTTTTGAACGCAGCCATTACGTGATGGCGCAGCTATTGAAGGTGATGACGCGTGTGGTGTGGTTGGCTAGACATGCCTACTAATTCGGTCCAAATTTTAATTAATTCATAAAAAATTAATTAGGCATCCAATTAAGTCAAATTTAGATTCAGATTGCATTGTCTTCATGTCTTGACCCACGTGCCAACTGTGAATCGTATCGGTCAAGTAGAACTGTCCGAATTTTCACTCCTGCGTTTCCGTCTAGACTGACGACTGACGACTGACGAGGAAGTGAGTTAAATAAAAGCTTGTAAAAAAATTCATAAAAAACGTTTTAATAACAAGCTTTTATGTAATGATGCACTAAAAAGTAGAAAATAAATTATAGACTACTATTTAAATAACTATAAAGAAAAGCGTGGGTCACTTTAGTATCGATTGGATACCTTTACTAATGTTAAGGAAGACACCCACGCTTTTCTTTATAGTTATTTAAATAGTAGTCTATAATTTATTTTCTACTTTTTAGTGCATCATTACATAAAAGCTTGTTATTAAAACGTTTTTTATGAATTTTTTTTCAGTACTTTGCATGTTTTATCTACAATAGAGTTACATGACTAACAACCATTGCGCGCCTACTGAATATCACGTTCAGTAGGCGCGCAATGGTTTTTGAACGCAGCCATTACGTGGTCGTGATGGCGCAGCTATTGATGACGCGTGTGGTGTGGTTGGCTAGACATGCCTACTAATTCGGTCCAAATATTAATTAATTCATAAAAAATCAATTAGGCATCCAATTAAGTCAAATTTAGTTTCAGATTGCATTGTCTTCATGTCTTGACCCACGTGCCAACTGTGAATCGTGTCGGTCAAGTAGAACTGTCCGAATTTTCACTCCTGCGTTTCCGTCTAGACAGACTGACGACAGACTGACGACAGACTGACGAGGAAGTGAGTTAAATAAAAGCTTGTAAAAACCGATAAATTCATAGCCTTTTCTACTAGCATATTTGTATATGTGAGCGGCTGGAGTGTTGTTATTATTATTTATATGTAACTTAAAAAGGCGAATGTATCGTTTCGTTTCATGTCGTAAACTGTTCATACTTTTAAGTTGTGTAGTCCCGTATTATAGCGCCGCTGTGTAACTGTTTATGCCCCTGTTTACAGATATTATGTATATATTTTTTAATATTGTTGTCAATGTTTATATTAAGTGTCTTTTTGTATAATTATGTCGTATGTTTCGTTGCGTGTTGTTTGTTATCTGTGAATTAGGGACTGTTTGTTTACGTGTAGTGTGCGAGGTATATTTGTGTATTAAAGCAACAAAAAATATACGTGATACTTATCAATTAAGTTATTAAGTTATTAAGTTATTTCCCCTGCTTACCTAAAAAAAGAGTCTAGTAATGAAAATTGAAATTATTTTTAAAAAAATCGAGTTTTTAAAAGTATTCGGAAAATATATCAACGTTATCAATGTTATCTACGACGTCAAACTTCATATCATTATTTTTTTACATTTGGTCGTGAAGGTCGAAAGATATATATATACATATATATATATATATATATATATATATATATATATATATATTATATATATATATATATATATATATATAAATAGTTATTTAGTTATTTAGTTATTTATTTAATTATTTGATATATGTTGAATGTTTGTTTAGCTGTCCCTAAATAAAAGTCTTTAATTATTTAAATTAAAATAATTAGATTTTCTTATAAATATTTTACAACCTGCGCAAATATAATATAAAAAAACCAAATACACAATATCGGATGTATTGTATTGTTTGTACATTACTCATTTAAATTAAGCGTCCCATTTCTCCAATTGCGTTATTTATGCTGCGCTTTACAGTTTTCATGTTTGAATTAAGCGTCCCATTTCTCCAATTGCGTTATTTATGCTGCGCTTTACAGTTTTCATGTTTAAAAACTTATATTCAGTGTTTTACATTTACACTAGTTGTTCTATCAACCTTTTCAAAAGATGTTTTATATTATCACAGTCAGTTTATTCAATGATTTCTAGTCAATGACAGCAGTGTTTACACAAATGTCAGTCAATGGCAGCATCAAACTACTTTGTCACTTTACATTTCTATTGGAGCAGGTCTAGAAGCGACGATGTATCTAAATATTGTATTCGATATGGCAACATTTTTAAGTTATTAAAATTCGATTTATTTCTAATTATCTTATTCAAATTAGTCTTACATGTGTATTAGACATAAACAAATGGACTTTGTGGTCAAGTTTCAACTTACAACCCATGACAATCTGGCGCGATCATCTACATCACAACATGCGCTGTTTTACAACAACTTAAACATCAACAGACAACAAAGATTAAAATAACAACAGAAGAAAAACATTTTCTGTTACCATTTAATGTCGTTTAGTGTGAACATTTTGTAAACAAATAGAAACAGTATGAGTATAACATTTGGCAGGTAGGTTACATTTAATTTACATGTAATAGCCAGCGTATAGGTATAGGACAACAATTTGCCGACAAAAGTTATAAGCAAATTATTTACAACATTTGATACAAAAAAACTCTAAAATCCATCAATGTACATGCAAATTAATACAGTTAAACGGTTTACATCAATCAAAAGATTTGTTTTAATCATTTAAAAGTAATAAAATGTTTACAAAACATGCTAGTCTTTACACAAACAGTTTAATGATGGGAAAAGTTCGACCATTTTGTTTGTTTACATTGTGTAGACAAGGGGAGAGAACCAACAGTTACATCAGTCCCTAAACATCTCGCCACTATAATTTCCTTCAGGGTTTGATCCACTGTGGGGATGGAGAAACAACCACGCGTTATATACCAGCCTGTAGACAGTCGCTCCACTGGAGCCTGGACATGTACATGTTGTGTACAAGTAACTGGTCCATATGAGACGCCTTCTATTTGTGTTTGTCCTTTGTCCTACAGAGACCTGTTTAGGACAGCCATGAGGATGTGACACTATAACGATCAATTTGTCCTCTTCATCAAATCTCCAGTATTTGATCGCTACTGCCAGACATTGTCGTCCAAAGCGCCAACACATCTTTTTCAGTTCATCAATCAACCTTAAGTCACATGTTACATAGCTCATCTTACACACGTCTCCCACAATGTCTGGCGCACCCCTCACCTCCCAGCCATCAAGACTGACCACTGGACTTTCATTATCATCAAAACCTAAAACACAAATGGTCTTTCTCGCCTCACTGTCATCAAACACCACGTGTGTGGCTGTCACCACATGAACCTCCCCCCACACTTTGCTGGGTGTGGCAGAGACTTGACACTTGGCACAACGACAAGTTCCGCCTCTCTTTGTGTACTTGTCCACACGATACACCCTCCCCGTCCCTAACCTCATCCCGTAGCTACCTCTGTTATTATAAAGTGGATATGGAACTTGAGTGTATGTGTAAAACTCTGGTCTCTCTAGACTGATGAATTTAGACTTTACCTGGACAGTTAGGGCTGCCAATGTTTTGATTGTCTTTAACAAGAGTTTGTCGCCACGGTAATATAAGGGGAGACAGTTTTTGTTGAAATCTTTAAGAGGTATAAAACCTTTGTGACCTGGATTCTTCGTACAGCCAGTAACACGTTTGTGTAGATCAGCTTCTCCTCCATAGCACATCTCAATTTCATGATTTCCTACAGGAACAAAAAAAATTATTTCTCTAGCAAATAATATATTATATTTAATGTTAAAACCATTTTGTTTGAATAAGCCATGTTAAAGTCATCTTGAAGTTTAAACTAGGGCATATATATTTGCTCTTACATTGTATCTGCCTCATACTTTAGGGTAACTTACCTGGAGAAAACACTACTGGTTGGTCAATCGTTTTATTATTATTTTGACTTTCACAGCAAGACAGGTCAAAAACAGTGTACCAGTATGTAAGGTTTCAAATAAATACTAATATGTAATGAAATAATTACATTTAAAACTGAGGGCCATTTAAATATTTAAAATGGAGATTCATACAACTGCTGACTTATAAAACGGTATGTAATACAGAATAAACTTCTATACATCCTTTCACAATAATTCAATGTTTTAACTTCTTCTTCGTTCTTAGTTTTTAGTGTTGGGAGGGATCGAGCCTTATCTTCCAGAGGGTTTGAACTCTAGACTTTTTTCGAATTTATCAACCATGAGCTTTTCCGACTCGACCACGCTTCCATCACAATTAAGGATTACGTGTCAACTGGTTATGCGCCCTTGTGGCCATTGACTCCGATTTCAGCCTGCTTTTCTTTTTGGATTTGCTTCCATAGCCTTTTGGGTTTAGCAACCATGAGGTTTACCAACTCGACCACGCCTACTCCTAATGTTTTAATTGTATTGCTAGATAAGAATAAACATTTAGTTCTACAACTTAAAATTAAATTACGTGCACATTTTATAGTGATTTAAAAGGACATTTTTTAGCGCAATTTCCATTCTGGAGAATTGCGTTTATTAACGCGTCATTTCTGGATGTATGAATGTATGAATGAATGGATGGATGGATGGATGGATGTGTGTCCGCAGCTTTAAGTCGTATCTCCTCCTCAACGAAGCAATATCAATGACTAGTTCCAAAAGCAATTATGTTAAGCAAGTTACGAGGATGAACATAGGCCATAAAAATTCCGGGTTTCTTTCATGGATTTCCCGGAAAAGCCCAAAAACCTCAAAAAATGCAGTTTTTGGCCCATATCTCGGCAACCAGACCACTTAGCGACTTGAAACATGTGCCAATCGATTCCTGTCATAATTTAGAACAATATTGCCGAAGAAAGTTTTAAAAAATATCCTTTCATTCGGTCACAATTTTTTTTTAATTAATTAAAATTCGGACCGAATTAGTATGCATTTTTTCCAACCACACCACACGCGTCATCACGTTCAATAGCTGCGCCATCACGTTCAATGGCTGCGTCATCACGTTCAGTAGCTAGGCGCGCAATGGTTTTTAGTCATGTAACTCTATTGTAAATAAAACATGTATTTTTACCAATGGTTTTACTAACCCTGCTCTTGATTTACGCTACGACAGAGCTATTTTTAGATAACATAAGGAAATTGCGCTAAAATTGTCACTAGACTTTTTAATTACTTTGTTTTCTTACCTATAGGCCTACCAAGTGATTTGTATTTTCTATTCGGCTTTATGTTGATGTTTCCCATGGCCTACGATGCTGTACATACAAAATATGCATCATTATAAAAAAAGTAATCATTATTAAAATTGTCTAAATCTCTTGAGATTTATAATCTATCTTTAAAATCATATTAAAGCAAATTGAATATATTAAATTAAATTAACGGGTAATATTTTGTATCAATTATATTTATACTGTATGTTAAAATTAAAAGATGAATATAAAAAACAGAACTTAGTGCTATGTATCAAATAAACTTTCTTTTTCTCATGTGTTCGGTACTTACAACATGGAGACACTAAATTGCCTCTGCTTGGACCTTGAATACACACACCTTTCTGTTCTTAAAGCAATGTCCCAATAAACATATTGCTGTCCTAACTTGCCTTCATGCTCTAAATAATACAATGAAGAATAGCATCATTTATTTTTAAACATAATATCTACATTTAGTTTTTACTATTTATATGTTGTATGAATAATAGAAATAATTATAATTAAAACCATAATAAACATGTCCAATTTGGGTACTTTTATTACCCCTGTCAGAAAAAGGATAATTTGATATTGTAGAAAGCTTCTGTATGTAATAGACAATTAAAGTGTTTTAAAAAGTTTATATTAACTCTAATCTTGTAGACTTATCTATTAGTGTGTACATTTATATTTACAACTGATGATTGCTTTTATAAGGCCACTACCAGGTCTAATTATAATAATATTAGAGCGTTAATACAGAAATATACAGGCCTACTAACAATTTAAGCTTTAGATCTAAATTTTAAAAAAAAACTACAGTTACTAAAAGAATATTTTTTGTTAAAACATTTCTATCACATATATTTGATGTGTCTAGGAAAGGGAAACTATGCAACAACCTCAGTAAATAAGCAACTAGAAGATAAAATGTGTTAGTTGGAACTTAGAATACTTCTGGTGTATAATATTTATTAATTAAGGCCTATTATAAATCGAAAAGATGCGCATAGCTCTACAATTACTTTGTTTTTCTTGTCATTTACATGTTTGCTGTTTAGGCTTATGTTTTGTCTTAATGGGAAAGGGATTAAACAATAAATACGTAAGTATATTAAATAGGCTATTAAAATAGATTTTTTTTTTAAATTTTCTACTTAATTTATAATTTATGCTAGCTATACTATGTACTTTGAACTATAAACCCTCAACCCCTGACTACTGCCAGCAGAGCAACTGCTTGACCACATTGTACAGACATTTTGTCATTAGAATAAAGCTAAACTAAAAGAGTAATTGATCCAATTGAGCAGCTATAAAAGAAAAAAAATGAGTCCATTCTGCTGCAATTTATAGAATCTAGTATTTAATTTGAGCCCATTGCCCAGATATTAAGGTTATTGCGCTTTCCATCTTTTGCTGGCCAGATAGTGCTAGGGGGAAAACTATTTTTTGGAGTAGTCACTTTGATTAAATTATGATGTAGATTGTAAATCTAGCATCTATGCTTAGAATTTTGGTCTACATAGCATTCATTATTATAAATATAGATTTAGACTAGAACTAGACCTAGATTATTCTTTAATAACACTTTTTAAATTTTAAAGTTTATTCTTAAAGTCCTATTTATATTACACAGTAGTAAAGTAACTTAGGCCTACGGCTAATTATATATTTATTATATTAACTTCACAAGTTTGTACTACTAGATTCTAGATCTAGTCTAGATCTAGATAAACTATTTGCTAGAGGCTGTGATTCGCTACTAAGTAAAACTGAGTCTCTCTCTCTCTCTCTCAAAATAAATACCTGTATATAAATATATATATATATATATATATATATATATATATATATATATATATATATATATATATATATATATATATATATATATATATATATATATGTAACTAGGTGTAGTTACCAGAGAAGATAACAACGCAATAGTGCAGGTGTTAGGCTGATAACGATCACAAAGCCGCTGCGCAGTTCACAGGCTGACGTAACAGTGCAGATGGCTTATTAATCGGACTGTATGACAGAAGCGGCGTAATTAACATTCTGATGCAACGATTAGAATCGATTACGATTACGATTACGATTACGAATCCGATTACGAATACGAAGGGATATATAGGAGGGCGACAGCTGAGATGAGAGGGGATCAGTCAGTCAGTAGGAGAGCGGCAGTATCAAGTTGGTTATTGAACGGGTTAGCCGTATTGTGTTAATAAGGACGATAGACATGTGCATTCAGTTATGTGAAGACTATTGAGGACTGTTGGGGGTCAGTTGATTCAGACTATTATTGTGAAACATTTCTTTTGATTCATTATATTATTGTGAAGCATTTCTTTGATTCATGTAATAAAAGGATCAATAGTGAACCTGCATCTTCGAGTATCTATACTGTGGTCGATGTTGTGTAGAATGAGTGGTTAGACTCGTTAACATTTGGCACTACAGGCCAATAGACTCGTTACATTTGGCGTTGTCAAGCAGAAGATGCAACTACACTCGGTCACATTTGGCGCTGCGGACAGGATGATTCAACTAGACCAGCCGCTAGGGCACCCATAGTCAACCTAGATCCAGTTCATAACTGTGTTTCGTGTGTGTGTGAATTCGGACATTCAGGAACAGTGAAAAGTGAGGAACGAGGAAAATTTTTCATACACACACGGTAAGAAAGGTCTTTTCTTTTTTGACTCAAGGAATAAAAATTATAATGTCTACTCTGGACGAGAAGCAGACCCATATTGTGGTCCTGCCCAGAGAGTCCCACATTAACAAATTTTACGGGGACGGTGATCCAGCTTTAACCAACAGGTTCAGTGAAGAGGTCAAAGCGGCCTGGGCCTCGAGATACATGTCACCAGAGGAAAGATTAAGACTGCTGATGGGCAGTATAGGAGAGACGGTTAGGGCAGAGGTCAAATGCCACGATAAAACCATCCAATCAGATCCAGATAAGGTGCTGGATCTAATTATGGAGACCTTTGGGGAGAGACGGTCGGGATCGCAACTGCTATCGGGGTTCGTAGGCTTAAAGCAGAGAATGGCGGAGAGTGTGATGGAGTATTCACACCGAATGAACAGGGCCTTTGATTCGGTAAAGGGCAAAACACCTGACATTGATGTGCGCCTACTGAGGGACCATTTCATCGAGGGGCTAGCAACCCCGATCTTAAGGAGAGAGTTGAAAGAAGAGGTCTACAAAGACCCGCAGTTGACCTTCCTTCAGGTCAGGAACTCAGCGATCCGCAGGTCCGAGGATGAGGACCAATCGAACTGTTCGGTAGACAAAGTCTCTGTGCCGGAACAGAAACAATCCCCACCCACAGGGACCGGCACGATGGAAACCATGATGGCTCAACTGTTGGCCCACCTGGATAAGGTTGACCAACGATTGGAGAGGTTGGAAAGCAGGTCAACAGCTGAGAATCAGGGCAAAAACGGGACAAAACAGGGACGGGTTGGACAGCCGCAACCTGCCGGTCCATCGCTCCGGTGGACGGCTGACGGTCGACCAATTTGCTGGTCCTGCTCACAACCCGGACATATGGCAAGGTACTGTCAGGGAAACGGTCGTCCTCTGTAAGGCAGGGCCAGGCTACAGAGGGGCGAGGTTATGGCCCAAGAAACAAAATGATGGGAGTCTGTCCCGAAATGATGATTACGATCGGGGACATCGCGGTGAAGGCAATTGTGGATACAGGCTCCCAGGTGACGACAATTACGGAAAATTTTTACACCAAATGGATGAAAGGAAAAGACCATAGGTTGAGGTCTGACACATGCATGCGCCTGACGGCAGCTAATGGACTAACCATTCCATACTGTGGTTATTTTCTGGCGGATGTCGTGGTGGCGGGACATAGGTTGAAGCAGGTTGGGGTGTTCGTTACGAAACACAACCTAGAGACAAATGTGTCAAATATACCTTGCCTGTTGGGCATGAATATTCTTGGCCAGTTGCCAGAATTTCTTACAAATATTGTCGGATCGACCACACCAGGTCGGGGATCCAAGTTGGCCAGGTTTGCCAAGACCAGAGGAAGGATATCAGTCCCGGCAAACACGGTCAAGGCAATCACATTACAAATTGGTGATAGAAGCGTGAATGGTGATGTGATGATAGAACCATGTGGCGCCGCACTGAGGGCAGGCGTCGTGTTACTGCGGACATACACATCAGCGGAAAATGGACTAGTTCAAGGATTAGTGGCAAATGTTTTGGATGAGGAAATTTTTATACCGCCTAACACTCTGGTAGGAGTACCACAGAACGTCGAGGTACAAAGGTCGGCACAGTGCATCGAACTGAGCAATACCAGCAGTAATGAAGTAACAATTAGGTCGGTCAATGTGACGGCCGAGGTGAAGAAAGAGGATGGCCGATCATATACATTCCCGGAAACTGAGGACCCAAAACTAAATGAATTGCTGAATAAGTACAGGGATATATTTGCCTCGTACGAGGGTGATTTGGGTTACACGGAAGTAATAAAACACCAGATACCCTTACTACAAGACAAGCCGGTGGCGCAACCTTATCGAAGATTACCACCAAGTCACTACTCTGCGGTGAAAGCACACCTGAACGATCTACTAAAAAAGGGAATTATTACAACCAGCACGAGCCCGTATGCGGCACCGATAGTAGTGGTAAAAAAGAAGTCAGGGGAGATAAGACTGTGTTGTGATTACCGGAAATTGAACAATATCACAAGAAGGGATGCATTCCCCTTGCCTCGTATTGATGAATGTCTTGATGCGTTGGGGGGAGCAAGATTTTTTTCTACCTTGGATTTGGCTAGTGGCTACCACCAAGTGGCCATGCACCCCAACGATCAACATAAGACTGCATTTATTTCTCCACTAGGACTGTACGAGTGGACCCGTATGCCGTTTGGTCTAACTAATGCGCCTGCTACATCCCAGCGAGTAATGCAGAGTGCTATGAGTGACTTTCTATTTCAAATAATGTTGGTGTACTTGGATGATATACTGGTTTACTCAAAAACTTGGGAGGACCATCTAGAAAAATTAGAACAAGTGTTTCTCCGTCTTAGGGAGATAGGAGTAAAGCTGAACCCAGACAAATGCTGCTTCGGTCTGAAATCGGTACATTTTTTGGGTTATGTGATTTCGTCGGATGGCATCGCCACTGACCCAGATAAAATTGCAGCTGTTAAAGAATGGAAACAGCCAACAACCACAGTAGAGGTCAGATCATTCTTGGGCTTTGCTTCCTATTATAGAAAATTTGTGCCTGGTTTTGCAAAAATTGCCGCACCATTGCATGACTTGGTAAACAAAATGACAAAGAAACACAGTAAGGAGAAAAAGAAAGGCAAAACACAACTGATAGGTGAATTATGGACTGAGGAATGCCTGAACTCGTTTAAGCTACTGAAAAAGGCTTTGACAGAGGCGCCGATATTAGG